AGGACCACCAGCCTAGGGAGGGCACCACCCACAATGGGCTGGGCCCTCCTCCATCAATCACCAATTAAGAAAATGCCCTACAGTCAATCATATGGAGGCATTCTCTCAATTGAGGTTCCCTCCTCTCAGATGACTCTAGCTTGTGTCAAGTTGGCATAAACGAGCCAGTACACTAGGTAAGTGACCTTTCACTGAGGAATATTGCCAATCCACTCCTTTATTGAGAGCCGCTGGTAGCAAAAGTCCATGGAGAATACTGCAGTGACAAGTAGAGTTCAGAAGGTCAACCTACCAGAACTAAGGGTTCTGTTAGAGGAAACCATCACACAAGGCGTTATGGAATTACTGCCTTTTGAATGAACTGGCTGTCTCTTGTTGTAAACTTCTTGTGTAATAACAGCTATGATTCTCCCCATTAACCATGCATCTCCATGTTATGTGTACATGTAATCTCACGATTGCAGCTCAATCTTGGACACAACTTTTCCTATACATTTGGGGTAACTGGATAACTGTCCCCAGCTGTGTTTATTTTTCATTAACATATATCTGGCCAGGGCCATTCTCCAGACAAAAGTATTTCAGCAAAGATAACCTTTTTTCCAAGGACAAAACTGAGCATAGATAAACATTAGCTCATCTCACCCACAGAGAGAGAAAAGAACTAACACTAACACTAACAATTAAATCCTCAACTCCTTACCTTCACCCTGGGTTATTTACACAAGACCCTAACTTAAGACATTTACTGCTCACATTCCTGGGATGATGTTTTAGCCACTTGCTAGTTACTGAGTTAAGGTAGTTACTTCCTACTGACCCAAGGAGATTGCCCTCAAGGGCAGGCAGGTGATAGGTGCCAAGCTTCTTTCTTGTGCAAATTAAGTTTTAATTCCTCCTCAGCCAGGTGCTATCCCTAAATTCCCCAGTTCATCTTAGCCTTTATTTAGTTGACCCTACCAGAGAACTCCCCTTTAGTCACCCCCCTTTTGGGTTGTAATTGAAGGCTGACATTTATTGCTTGATGTGTGGATCCTTATCACCTCTCTCTGTGACCCTGAAAACTTCAAGCCTCCAGTTGCTTTGCCAAAGAACTGCTGCTTGGGTATATGTACTGGTTCCCTCAGAGGACTGGGGAAAGGACTGAGAAGCACAAAGATGAGGACAGAGACTGAAAGAACTCGGTAGACCTGAGAGAACAGCAGAAGGGACCGAGAGCAGCTAAGTATGAGAACAGAAAAGAAACTGTAGATAGAACTGACCGAGAAGAATGAAGGAATGGACTAACGAACTCAGTATGCTTAGATTCATTGAATATCCCTCAGATTAGTATCCTCGGCTGGTTGTTAGACTCTTCTGTGGACTCTGGGAGAAAACAATAAAAGCTGGACCTATTATTGTTTATATTAGTCCCCATGCTTTATTTTGAGACAGGGTCTCGGTAAACTGCCTAGACCAGCCTTCAACTTTTGATCCCGCCTCCATCTCCTTAGTGGCTGGAATTACCCTTAAATAGGTGAATTGGAGCCGGGTGGGGCCACCACCGCTGCCACACGCCTTTAATCTCAGCACTCGGGAGGCAGAGGCAGGTGGATCCCTGTGAGTCCGAGGCCAGCCTGGTCTCCAAAGCGAGTTCCAGGAAAGGCGCAAAGCTACACAGAGAAACCCTGTCTCGAAAAACCAAAAAAAAAAAAATAGGTGAATTTGTGATACCTCAGTAAAACCCCCCACTCTATCCCCTACAGACAAAGAGAAGCTTAAACCAGGATTCCTAAGTGTAGATAAGAACTTAGACCCCTTTTCCCCAGGTGGCTGTATCTGCTACAGGGACTTTGGAAAACAGTCAGGATATTCGACCAAAAGACTAAAAAGGGAGGCAGGTTAAAATAAATTATATGGTCTGTGTCTTTAAGAACTAGCCTCACAAAGAAAGGGAGAGCTCCTTCCCACCTCCCTGCTGTGAGTGAGAGGTTTGGAAGAGCCTCCCTGGAGACTTGTAAACTTAGAAAACACCTTACTTTTGCATTCTGTACCTAAAGTATTCAGTGGCAGTTTTGGGGACTGTGATTTAGGCCAGGCCAGTTTCAAGTCCCCAGAAATGATGGCGCCAGCCCCAGGAACAAAAGAACAGAGTCAGGATGTCTGATGGTAACCAATTAACCACGAGATGCCCCTCTCCAGAGATAACAAGACCGGACCCCGGAGAGAAGTTGTAAAACTCCTGACAAGGCAAACAGACAAGCTAAAATAAGATAAAGTCCAGGCCCGGGAAAAACTTGACCAATCAAGGATGGACCCGTACTAACCCCCTCCCCTCTAAGAAATTTTATGGGTTTTGCCTATAAAAACTAACTTCCCCAAGAAAGAGGCACTCCTCCCTGCCTCACTGTATTGGGTGTAGAAATGAGTCCCTGTCTAGACTTGTATCTGCAGAATAAACCTTGCTGTTGCATTCTGGACATCCAAAGGTCTACGGTGGACTCTTTGGGGGGTCACAATCTGGGCATAACAAATTGAATGGTGTGTAAGCTAGATCTCTGTAAAGCTCCACAAAAGTACTTTGGCAAGGAAAGACCCAGCTCTGGCTCAGAACTGGTGCTGAGGGTGGAGAGTGGCATCCCCATTCACAGTACCTCATCAGCGTGAGAAGGACCCAATCGACAGTGCCCCGAAGGTAGCTTGAGATGACGGAGCCAAAGAGAGCTAAATGAAGGTGGCAAGGAGAGTCCAGAGAGGACATGGATTTGCTCAGGTCTCCCTGGTACGGATGCTGAGTAGAGGAAGAGCCCTCTCTCCTGGGATGAGCAAATGGAAGCAGGTTACTGGATGCCCTGCGGCCCACGACTAGAGCTGGGGCTGCTGCATTGAGCTGTATGAGCGACATGACGTCCCCCAATTGCCTCGCAGTGATAATACCTTCTATTTATACCAAACACCTCTCCTCCAAGGAGAGTGCTCTGTTTTCCCAACATTGATTCAGGAAGCCACATAGAGTGAATTGAATTAAGATTCACAGCAGCCACACACAGCATGCCTACCCCTTCGCCTGCCCGCCCCTGTCCTCCAGCAGTGCAGGGGAGTCGGTAACACGGTAACACGTCTCCACGCCTGCCCCATGCCTGCTCCAGAAGTCAAGAAGGGGGACTGCGCTGCCTCCTTCCGTCTTGAGAGAAATACAACGTGAATAAAGGGGTCTTCAAGTGTGCCCTCATCCCTTTTCCATAATAAGCGTGTACAATGGAGATTATTAAACCTCAGAGGTAAGACTTGCTAATGATAATTATCAGGCCCAATAGAGAATCACATTGAGGGCAGCTTTGGAGCCTGTGTGTGTGTGAGAGAGAGACAGAGACAGAGAGGCAGAGGGAGAGAGAGGGAGAGAGAGGGTGGGCAGAGGGGGGGGGAGAAACAGAGCGCTCACACAAGCTGTTGGGAACTGACCTCAGTTTCTCCTGCGCTAGGAAAGCGCTCTGCCATGGAGCTCCAGGTACATCTCCTGTCTTTTCTAATTCTGTGTACCTCAGACACAGTTGGCTATTCTGCCCATGCGGAAGGGCACACAGGCTGCCAGTGGGCATTGCCAGGGGACTCTTCATGGGCAGATTCCCTCTGGCTCACTGGAGAAATGAGAAGGAAGGGCAAGTGGGCTCTGCCAGCCTATCTTTGTAGTAGAGATTAGGTTAACCTTATCCACAGCCCTGACCTGAGGAACAGACTACAGTCCTGGTCACGCTGGGTTGATGAATAGATGTATCCAAATGCACGACTGTCACACACACACACACACACACACACACACACACACACACACATACACACACCAGAGACGAGGCAGGATGCTTGGGAATCAAGACAGTACCAAGCATAAGATGCCTCGAACTCATCAGTGAAGACTGTATCCTTTTTATGGACATGGTCACAGTGTGCTCGCCTTTCACCGTCTTCCAGGATGCTGTCTCCTCCGCCCTGACTGGGGAAGTGCAGATGGTTTAGGTGATGGCACCCCAAGCGCGCCTCCATGGCAGCATACAAACACCTCAGAGGGCAGAAGCCCTTACAAGCTTTCCTTAAAAGCCCTAATCTCAGGGTTGGGAACAGCTTAGAGCCCATTCAGTCATCTGCCCGCCCTCGGCCATCACCACATGCCCGAACACCATAGTCCATGTACACAGGGACACCACTGCCCAAGGCTTCGCCACTCAAAGCCTTGTCCGCTGCTCTTCGTTATCAAGTCCCACGTGATGGCACCCACAGAAAAGAGCACTAGCTGGGTCAGCAGCCCTGTAACTGTGGCTCCTTAAGAGGACATCAGAGGCTGGGCCATGGGACCCCAGGAATTATACAAAGTCTAAGGCAATTATGTTGGCTCTTAAAAAGCCATGACATGGATGTTCTTCAAACCACAGACAGGCTGCTCCCACTTCCACAGAAAGCATACTCAAGTGCTAGCCTCTACTGTGTCATACTTAGATAGTACTTTAGGGCTGGGAATACAGCTCAGTGATAGAGGGCTAGCCAACCCTCAGTATGTACACACACACACACACACACACACACACACACACACACACACACACACGGACTGAAAATATGTGGTTTAGCAGTAGAGTGCCTGCCCCATATGGCAGCAAACAAAAATCAAGTGATATTCAACTCCAGAGATTACATTAAAACTCATCTTAAAAACCACAGTTCCAAGGCTGTCATTTGCATCCCTTGGATTTATAAATGTTGAGCAATAATCAAAGCAATTATTACAAAAAACTTACTCCGTTATAGCTTTTTTTGCATATTAAATATCTCTTGCAAAACTGAATGAACATTTGATTGGAAGCCTAGAGAGTGAGCTTCATCCTCCAGGGGGACATGGAGCCACAGGGTGCAGGCTCTATGACAGTTCTGTGAGAGTGTGAGAGGGGGGAGGGAGGGAGGGCACCCAGATGCTGCCGCTAGCCCTGCAAGGGCCCCTTTGAGTGGGCGTGCATGTGGGGGGCACTTACAGGGCTGTTGGTGCGGGTGAGCTCAACGCCTCCTGGCTGAGCATTCAGACAGGAAGCTGCCTTGCCCACGCAGTCCAAGGCGCTCCCGCGTCGCTAAGGATCAGGTGAGGGCTGCACAGCTCACCACGCCTCACTCGGAAGCAACTGTTTCATCTCCCGGGGTAGCCGCTGCTGGCCTTCTGCACACAGCAGCAGCAGGAAGTTGTTGGTGCTGGTGCGGGGGGGGG